CCTGATGGCTGACGAGGGTCAGGAGCTGCTGGCTGAGGATTCGGGGACGTGCTCTGTGGGGTTAAATGGGTGGCCCAGTTTGTGGCCGAGGCAGGAAGGCCCCTCCCACAGCCAGCCCCTTAGCTTTGTGCCGTTGGCGCCCGTGTCCGTGGGGAAGAGCCCCTTTGTGAACTGACTCTGTGTGCTGACTTTGCTCGGCCTGACGTGCCACACCTGGCAGCTTTGTCAACATTCTGTGTCACTGTGAGCAGCCTTCCAGGTGATAGGATACCTGCCTGAGTTGACTTGCCTTCCTGTGGGTGACATGCCACCACGTCACGAGTTCAGGGTTTTCAAGGCTGGAATTTCAGAAACTTTTTTCTTCTTTCACGTACTAAACTCAGTTTCTAGGCATAGTGCACCCCGAGGGAAGAGCTGAGCACATCATTTGCGAGGCTCAGTACAAAATGAAAATGTGGGGCCCCTTGTTCAGAAACTGTAAATTATGACAAGGTGGCAAGAGCATAGCACTAAACCAAGCAGGGGACCCTCTGAGCTCAGGGTCGCACGGGTCACACATCCATCAAGCTGACCCTGCCTCAGGGCCTAAGAGGCTGCATTGCTAGAGGCAAGGGTACCTGAGCCAAAGATTACACAGAATGCATTCGTAGTCGTTTTCTAGTTTCTGGAAAGTGTAACACTGAATTAAAAGATCAAAGCATAAAGATTTCAACTAGTCATTACTGGATTTATGAAAATATACAGGACCTTAAATTCAGCAGATTCAGCATCTAGGTATGTCCCTCATGAACACGTCACTGTTTTTGTTTCCAATTGTATTTGTTGATATAGTTGATTTACAGCGTGTTAATTCTGGTGTACGGCATAGTGAGTCAGTTATACATACGTGCGTTCCTTTTCATGTTCTTTTTCATTGTAGGCTATTACAAGGTATTGAGTATAGTTCCTTGTGCTGCGCAGGAGGACCTTGCTGTTTATCTGTTTTATACGCACTAGACACCTGACTGTTTTTGATCACTCATAACACAGCCCCGTTTTCTCCCAGCCTTGGTAGCACTGCGTTTCCTGTCTCACAGGCTTCTCTGTAGCCCTGAAACCCCTCCTCTAACCAGAGCAGGGGTCACTAAGGATGTGGCAGCTGCCACGTAGCCATGCCAGTCAGAAAGGGCCCACTCCCAAGGGAAGGGCAGTGGTCTCACAGTGGTACAGCGAGAAACCCAGGGCCCAGAATCTGGGAGATTAACACGTATGACGAGAAGAAAGAAAGTTCAGTAGCTGACGGGCAAGTGAAGGCTGGAATTCCAGGTTAGAGGCAGTGCCGGGCCCAGACCCACGTGTCTCCTGCACGGGGTCCAGAAGCCGTGTCATCCTCAGAGATCTCAGGCAGAGCCCCTTGACCTCCCTGTCCCTCCTCTGGTTCCTGTTTTCTGGTCGTGGCTCCAAAGTCAACTTGTATAGACTTGAAGGGTGCTGACTAAGAGTGCCAGATTTAGCAACCAAAAATACAGGACACCCAGTTAGACTTTAACTTCAGGTAAACAGTGAATAACATTTTAGTTTAAATATTCCATGGGTCATCCTTATGCTATAACATGACTCATGTTTATCAGAAATTCAGACTTAACTAGGTGTCCTGTATGTTACCTCACAGCCCTCGTCCTAACCCTGGACCACCCCCTACCTGACTCGGGACGGCTTCTCTGCAGCTGGGAATGCGCCCAGATGCCATGCGTCTTCCAGCAGGCTTTTCTGGACTTGGCTGCCGGTCTGCCCCAACGTGCCCAGCCCTCTGGTGATGGACTTTACAGATGTGCTGTCGGAGAGGCTGCTACCCACCGTGGAAGATGCCGGTGCCAGGCAGAAACTCACCTCTGACCTGCGGCCAGCTCTCTCGGCCTCAGCGCATTCCTTCCAGCCCAGCTCACCCTTGGCGCTGAGACCGGCGGCAGGGAGGAGCTTAGCGCGGCCCCATCACCGACCTGCAGGGTGGGCTTGAGGGGCTTCCGACTGTGACCGCGGCCTGGGGGTGCCTGCTAGGCATGTTCTCCTCCTCCATTTAGTTTTATTCTCAATCTTCCTTTTTGGAAATAAGCATGGAAAGTATCGAGTGTCAGAATCGTGCATATTTCCTTTGAGTGTATCATTTAATCCTCACAACAATACTATGAGATGAGTAATATTGTCCCCAATTTGCAGATGAAGAAATTGAGGTGCCACCATTGTCGTACTTTTGGCAGGTGCCAGAGCTTGGCTTTGAACGTGAGCCTCCTAAATCCAAGTGTGTGCTCTACGATTACTGCCCAATGTCATCATTGGCCACCCAAGCAGAAACTTCTAAATAATTGTCCACACCTCACTTTCTCCCCAGGTCATTATCATTCCGCCTCTGCAGCCTGCCTTGATATTCACTGTTTGCCTAGTCCAGGCTGTCACCATGGCTGGAGAGGACGGAAGGCTCTTGGTTGACCTTCTGCTTCGAGGCTTTTCCTCTCAACTCATCCACTGCTCAAAACCTTGCTTTCTAAAAAGTATATCTGATCACTTACTTCCCAACTTAAAAGTGGCCAGATATCCACACTGCCTACAGCTGTGGCTCTCAAAGCTGAGTGTACAGAAGAATTGCCTGAAGAGCTTTAAAAAAATTCAGATACAAGGCCCCGTCCCGGAGCTCCTGACTCAGTAGGTCTGGGGTGAGGCCCAGGATTCCGTGACATAGCAGGGTCGAGATGGCTCTCACGCAGATGACCCACAGACTCCACTCTGAGAAAGGGCTACAGGATAAAATTTAAAATCCTAACCTGGCATTTAAGAATTCTCCCAGTCTGGTCCAGTTTTTTTCAGTCTCATCATCCAGTTCCTCCAGCCCCTGTCAAGAGCCTGGATCCAGCCAAGTGGACTCTCCCCCTCTGCTCCCCTGCGAACCTGCAGGGGTCAAGGGGAGGAGGCTGAGGACGGGGCTGTGGAGCCCCACTGTGCAGGGACTTCACCTCCCTGTGCCTCAGGTCCCTCAGCCCCATGGTGTGGAGCAGCAGCGTTGCCAGCAGAGGGTTATGAGGAGAGTGACCGTGAAGTGCTTGGAGCAGAACCTGGCACTTAGAATGCACTCCGTGAACGTTGACCATTATTACTTTTCATTTTTAACAGCTTTTGCTCATGTTGCCTCCCCTTCCTGAGATTCTGTTCCTCTCTTATTATCACTGGAAAAATCCCCTTCCTCCTTCAGTATCCAGTTAGGAAGCCACCTTCTCTGTGAGTTCTTCCCGAGCCCCTTGGGTCCCCTTAATACTGCCTCCTCATCCGTCCCCCCGTAATTATTGCTTTGTGTCCTTCGTTCACACTGTCATATTGTAGGGGGTAGTCACACATACTCCGTCTACATACGAGAACCGCCTGGCGGCGCCGACCTGCTGTAGGACGTAGGGTAATGCCTGGTGTGCTGTGTAAGTGCACTCATCCCCACTCCTCACTCCATGAAACTGGATGTTCAATCTGTTGTTTTTAAATGGAAGTTTGGGAGCTTTTCCTTAATTTAATTTAGTAATTTCACTATTAAATTAGCTCTCCTTTCTTCCCACCCTTCCTACCACACTGTTTTCTCCCTCCTGGATTCTCCAAGTTCCATCGCCGCAGTCAGCGTGTAGTGACTCCGGCCCGGCTGGATTGCCCTGCGTTCCACGTGCCTGATTTAGGAGCGAGTGCCCACCGCCCACTCACAGTCAAGGCCCTTACTT